AGCAGCTAAAATAAGGAACATGTCCCAAATGAAAAAAAGAACAAAACTCTAGGAAAAGAACTAAACAAAATGGAAATAAACAATCTAACAGATGCAGAGTTCAGAACACAAGTTATAAGGTTGCTCAGGGAACTTGGTGAGACATCCAAGGGACTTAGTGACACCTTCAAGAAACTTAAGGAGACCTCCAAGGAACTTAGTGAGAACATCAACAACATAAAAAAGGGCCAGTCACAAATTAAGGATGCACTAACTGAAATAAAGAATAATTTATAGGGAATCAATAGTAGAGTAGGTAAAGCCAAGAAGCAAACCATTGATTGGAATGTAAGGAAGCAGAAAACACCCAATCAGAACAGCAAAAAGAAAAAAGAATCCAAAAAAATGAGGATAGTGTATGGAGTCTCTGGGACAACTTCAAGCATGCCAACATTCACATCATAGGGGTGCCTGAAGGAGAAGAAAGAGAACAAGAAATTGAAAAACTATTAGAAAACTTCCCTAACTTGGTGAAGGAAACAGACATACAAGTCCAGGAAGCACAGAGAGTCCCAAACAAGTTGAACCCAAAGAGGTCCACACCAAGACACATCATCAAAATGCCAAAGGTTAAATACAAAGAGAGATTCTTAAAAGCAGCAAGAGAAAAGCAGTCCGTTACCTACAAAGGAGCTCCCATAAGACTGTCAGCTGATTTCCCAAAAGAAACTTTGCAGGCCAGAAAGGAGTGCCAAGAGATATTCAAGGTGATGAAAAGCAATGACCTTACAACCAGGATTACTCTATCCTGCAAAGCTATCATTTATAATCGATGGACATATCAAGAGTTTCCCAGACAAGAAAAAGCTAAAAGAATTCATCACCACCCAACCAGTATTATATGAAATGTTGAAGGGTCTTCTTGAAGGTGACAAAGAACAAAAATATGAACAATAAAATGGCAATTAATACATATCTATCAACAATTGAATCTACAAACAAAATGAGCAAACAGAAGAGAAACAGACTCATAGATACAGAGAAATTTTGTTGCTTGCCAGATGGGTGGGGACTGGGGGGATGGGTGAAAAAAATGAAGGAATTAACACGTACAAACTGGTTGTTAGACTGATGAACCACAAAGGGAAAGGGAGAGGGAGGGTGGGATGAGATAAACCAAAGAACTTCTATGCATATATGCAGAACCAATGGACACTGACAACAGTGTGGGGAAGGCAGGAGGGGGCAGGAATGGGGAAGAGGGGGGTCAATGGGGAAAAAAGGGAGAGACATCTGTAATACATTCAACAATAAAGATGAGTTAAAAAAATAAAAATAAAAAAGAAGAAGAAGGCGCCTGAAAAAAACCCGAGTTTCTAACAGAGAGCAGCCACAAAAGGGTGAAGGATAAAGATCCGTCTTCTGTGCACAAAACAAGACCGAAAAGATCTATTTACTAAACAAAACCTGTTTCTTAACAACAACAAATGTTAAAGCTTTTTTTAAAAAGCTATTCAACAATTAGATTGATTTTTTAAAAAACAGCATGGTGGACCAGCTAGCATCGAAAGTGTGCAAGGGAAGATGAATCATGGAAAGACTTTTACTGTATCAAACGTTGAAGGCTCTATACTCTATAATGGGGGACTCTTCTTTCTAAAAGAAAAAATTCCCCATGTCTCTTTTCTACGTGGGCCATAGTTATGCTTCTTGATTGCTTTAAAGTAGCTTCTGTTTTATTTTGTGATTTTTTCTGCTAAGGAACTGGATTCTGGCCTATGTCTTCTCCCAAAGGCTGACCTAAAAGAGAAAGCTCAGTCTTCCTGACCCCCTTCTGACCTTCCCATGAGCTGGCCTACTATCGTTGATTTGCATACTAACTGTTTTTAATCCCTTTGATAATTTTTTCATGTTCTTGACTTGATTTCAAGTAACATGATCATATAGCAACTGTAGCACAGCAGTGTGAAAGAAGCGAAAGATACAGGGCTGTGAATGAGAAAGTCAGTGATGATCTGAGGAGGCGGGAGGAGGAGGCAGAACTGGGAGGGGAGGAAGGGAAGGAGGGGGAGGGAGAGCAGAGTGAGAGGGCACTGTGGGAGATGAATATGTTAAGTATTGAGATGAATTGCTAACCTCATCTAACTTGTTAGGCCATTCCATCCTTTTGGTTTCATAAAATTAATATGGTGAGATTGATGTTTCCCAAGCTTCGGTAATTCTGCCAACTTCATGGTTTTTGTCATATACGCCCTCCTTTAGCACTAGTTATTTATTTAATGTTACACATTAAACTGACTTTAAACTGACCCTTCATGCCCGGCCAGTGTGGCTCGGAGGCTGGACGTCGACCCATGCACCAAGAGGTCGCCGGTTCGGTTCCGGGTTAGGACACATGCTCAGGTTGTGGGCTAGGTCTCCAGTGCGGGGGCATGTGGGGGACGGCCAACCAATGTTCTCTCTCATCGATGTTTCTGTCTCTCTTTCCTTCTCCCTTTCTCTCTCTCTCTAAAAATCAATAAAGAAAAATTATTGTAAAAATAAATTGACTCTTCAAACTTTTTCCTAAGAAACAATCAAGTTGGGATCATCTCTGTTTGATGTGATATACATATAAATATGAAATATGTTATATAGTATACATTTAAAATATATATGCATTTTAATTTATATTCATTTGATAAAATAAACAAAAATGTTCATCTGTGTCCCACCTCAAATCATCTTGGGAACCTGGACAGTCGGGCTTGGTGCACTGCTAAACCTTCGATTTGAGGCAGGTCACAGAGCTCTCGGCTGAAGCTGAAATAGGACCAATCCTCTTGGGACTCTTTTCCCTTTCTGTCAGACCACGTGAGACATTTCAGGAGTGTAGCTCCTTTGCGCATACTGTATACGCCAACTGTTTGGAACCTCTGGCAGAGCAAAAATACTCCTAAAAGCTGGTTGTGTTAACTTTCCAACACTGTCATACTGGCGTCTGCTTTTAGACTTTTTTCCACTTCTGATGAAAATGGTCTGCAGCGCCGTTCCGATTAAAAGTAAAAGCAATAATTCCATACTTTAAACTTTTCTTGTGGTCCTTTTTTCAAATATTTATTTTCCTGACTATGGAGGTGGTCTTCTAGCCACTTGAAGTGAAGCCCTTGAAGGGTGCACCATGACATACATACCCAATCCACACTTTCACTTCGTGTTCTCCTCAAACTTATTTGCTATTGATTATAGTAGACTGAATAATGGCCCTCCAAAGATGTCACCTCCTAATCCCTGGAACCTGTGAATATGTTATGTTATGTGGCCATGGGGCATTAAGATCACAGATGGAATTAATATTGCTAATCAGCTGAGGAAAATAGGGAGAGTAGCCTGGGTTACCCAGGAGGGCCCAATGTAATGGCACGGTGCTTAGGTGCTTAGACGAAGTAGAGAGAGGCAGAGGGAGGGTCAGAATGGTTTGATGTGAGGAGGACTGACCTCACCATTCATGACTTTGACAGTGAAGGAGGCTATGAGCCGAAAAAGTGGACAGCTTCTAGAAGCCAGAAAAGGCAAGGAAAAGGATTTTCTCCTAGGGCTTCTATAAGCAATGTAGCCCTGCCAATATTTAGCCCAGTGAGATTCGTCTTAGACTTCTGGCCTCCAAACTGTAAGATAATAAATTTGTGTTAAGCCATTAAGTTCATGGTTATTTGTTACAGCAGCATAGAAAACTAACACAGGGAGCTTCAAATTTTGCCTGGTTTCTTATTCTCTCATGGTTATAGGTCTGGCTCATTCATTTTTAACAAAGGCACACTCGACCAAGGAAGGCAAACTTGGAATCCTCTTCTCTTCTTAAAACACCTAATCCCTAAATTTACACATTGTTCTTGTTCCAAAAGATTATTGCTGTTAATCTCTAGTTAGATTTTCTTTAAAACATAATAATAATGTTTTTTAAATGGTCTTCAGTTGTGAGAAAAATACAAAAGTTTTGGAGAATCAGTAAAATATCTGTATTACGTATTTTTAAAAGGCTGTATAGCCAGGGCACTGGATTCAAAATAAGCGCTGCCATTTACTAGCTGTGGTTTGGGAAAACTGACTTCTGTAAGCCTCCATGTCGTCATCTATAAAATAAGAATAAAAACTATAGGAATTATACAATAGCTTGGGTTAAAGATTTAATTAGATATCTAGGTAAAGTCCTTAGCATGGCACCTAGTATGCAATTAAGTGCACCACATAATGGTGTTCGCTATTATTACTGCTGTTGTTGTTACATTATATTCCCAATTTCAAAAACTTTTCTAACAAAAAGTAGTTTTCAGAACATGTTCTGTGTCTGTGACCTGCAAAATTAATAGCCTGTCACTTTCTTTCCGTCTTAATTTCTAAAGAAGCAGCAGTAAACCCTTCTGAAAATGGCATCTCCTTAGCAATACTTAACACTGAGTGAACAATTCTTTTAGTTATTAAATATTTATTCACTAAAGTAATTGTTATTTTTAAAATAGAGGGGGTAAGACAATGGTCTAACTCCTAATTAAGTCCTCTAAAAAAAAATATCTAAATCGGACGGGGTGAATTATTTGCTTGGCTCCTAGGAGAGTCCTCTCCCAAACCACCTCTGCATAAAAGAGGGAGCTCGGGCCTTTGCCTGCGCGCCAGGTCTTTCCTCCGTCCGGGCCGTGCCAGGTGAGCCCGCGAACAGCTGAGAGGCCACGCTGGAACTGGCCGGGTCTGGCGCGCAGCGCCTGCAGAGGCTGCAGGTTGTTAAGCTTTGCCCTCGGCACCGGTGCGCCCTCGTGGCCTCCAGCCGGTGCGCGTCCGGAGCCCCCAGGCGAGGGGCCGCGCTTGGCTAGATCTGTCCAACTTCTGAGCCATTCACGGTGCTCCGACCGCCCTCCCGCGTCTCCCCCCCGCATCAGTGCCCGGACTCGCTTCCCCGGGGCTCCGGAAGGGAAGGAGGCGTGTCCGGAGCAGGCGGGAGGGAGCTATATAAAAGTGCTGGCGGCGCGCCGGTGGGGTTTCATTCGCCGCCTCGCGCTGGGACCGGGAGCGCCGCGGGAAGCACCGGCCGTGGAGAGGGCGCTGCGCTCGGGCTACCCAATGCGTGGACTATCTGCAGCCGCTGCTCGTGCAATATGCTGGAGCTCCAGAACAGCTAAACGGAGTCGCCACACCGCTGCCTGGGCTGGATCACAGTGCTGCCTTTCCTTATGAAGAAAACACAAGTGAGTAGGGCGTACCCGGGAGCTCGCCGGCTCTCCAAGAAAATCGCGCTGGGAGGCCGGCGTGTCTCGGCGGCTGCCTGGGCGTGCGGGGCTGTGCCCGCGGGACCGGCCAAAAAGGTGCGGGGGAGGCAGGCGTGGCGTGCGAGCCCGAGCCGCCGGGGCCGGGTTAGCCAGAGAGAACGAGTGGGAGTGATGAGAGGGAGCCGGTGCCAAGTTTGCAGCCGCAGCCGTTAAGTTTGGAGCTGTCAGTAGGGAATCGCAGTTCCTGTAAGGAGGAAGGATCTGTTCTTTGGTCGGAGAGTTGAAGTTATCGCGGAAAGGCATGTCTTTGCACGGGAGACATTTTCCCTTGGATTCCGGGAGATTACAAAACAGCTCCCCGTACGCCACGCTGGCTCGCTTGCTCGCTCTCGCACCCGGAATTCTGTGCGGCCCCCAGGTGGGCGCGGGGCTCGTGGGGATGCGGGTGCAACCTTGGGAGCAGAGCCAACATCGAGTTCCTTAGTAGCAGCGCTCCTCGGGGCAAAGAACCTGCTTGGCCCGCCACGGAAACTTGGCTCCCCGAAGCATTTGCCGGGTGTGCAGCTCAGGGGCAGCTCCCCAGAGAGCTCTAGATGGGGTAATACCTGCACACTGCACCCACCTTCTGTCATTAGAGAAGAGAAAGTTTCTTTCTTTCTTATTCTTTTTTTTTTTTTTTTTTTAATGGGAACCTTTAATGATAGTTATTGAGCTCTCGGTGCTGCTAAATTGTGCATTATTCACTTAAACACTGGGTAAAGCACCGCCCAGGGGTACAATTAGATTTTTTTTCCCTTGAAGCAGATATGTCTTGTCATTTAGAAAGGGCCCCCACGGTACTCCTACCCACAGTTATTTACACCACCGAGCACTTACCTCTTCTTCCTTCTCCCCTTTGGAATTGTGTGTATCTGCCCCGGGTTGGGTAAGGCGCCCTTTCACCCCCCAGAGGTTCTGTCCGAGATTGCAATTCCTGAAATGTGTCGAAGAGGTGGAAGTGTTGGGGGAAATGGGGGAGTTATACAAATGGTCAGTTAAGAATGGGGGCATCAATATGCGGAAAATGCTTTATTAAATAGATGTCTAGGCTTAGGAAATGTACACATTCAGAAGGAACAAGGAAGAAGCAAGCCCATCGCACCGGCGTGGAAAAGGGCAGGGGGAAGGCCCTTTTGTGCGGTTGGTGTCCTTTCTAGGGCAGCAGCCTAAGAGGAGAGGAAGGGAGTGCACATGCCCCTCTTGCCAGCAGGTTGGCTTATAGGCACAGCATTGAAGGCCACACCGGGGGATCATCACAGGGTGCTGTTGAAATGCAAGTGTTCAAGATTGGCAATGAAAGAGAAGTTTCCATGTAATTACTTAATGTGTACAAGTTTTCCGCTTTGCAGGAATTATAAGCAAGGGTGCAGAACCAATTCCTTGTTACAGTAGCATCTGCTCACATGAATGGTAGTGGTGAGATCTGGGTGGAGAAATCTCCATCTACTAGTTCAGAAAAGGAGCCCAAACCCTCCTATTTAAACAAGAGCACTGGAGACAGATCAGGTTAATGACCAACACTCCAAAGGAGGGCGACTACTATCATGTCACTTTGAGTGTCAGTAGGATTAATGATCCTTGCACCCTCGCTTTGCGAAACACATGTGAGCTCTGTAATCTCCTTTCTCACTTTGATTAAGTGGCTGTGTAAATCTGATTACATGGAATAATTCCATTGAAAACCAGAAAGAGGGCAATCTAGCCTGAAACGCTGTGGTGTCAGTGACTCGGTGCTGCTGACCAAGGACATTTGAGATAGCTAAGTATTTTAGAAATGTGACCTGCTCAGACCAAGTTAAAGTGCAAGCCCTTTGGGGGAACTTGCTGGTGTTAAAGGACTTGTAGGGATAGGAGGGCAGTGCCCTTGTTGAATGAAGGCATTCATTGCCTGGGATCTAATGACCTTCAAGGTTTCCTTTAAGGATACTTCTAGCAATTCCACATTCTTGCCAAGTGGGACACTAGAAATAGCATAAAATCAATAAAATAATCCATGGAAATGGGGAAGGGGGATGAGATCCTCGTTCGTATTGCTAAATTTTCTAATCCAAAAGTTACAAGAAATTTTCTGTGCACCTCTGTACGGATGGAGAGTGGCTTAAGGAAATCAGACATTAAGAAATAAGGTGAACTGTTCTACAGAATCTAATGTTATCCTTGCCAGCGAGGAATATCTATTAAATCAACAGTGTCAATGGTCATTTATAAAATGGCCTCAATAGAAGAGTTCTATTTTAACCGTTTTGTGCTCTCCCATTCCCCAAGATACAAAATTAGAATTTAATAATAGTAATAATAATAGTACACTTTAATTTGAATTATTCAGCTCTCCAAGAATCATGGGTACACCAGCCGTTCTGGCCTTTCAGTTAAACTAAATAAGTGTGAAAATTCCATCAACAACCAGTTGGGGTTCCATAAGTGATTCTTTCATTTATTTAGCATGTGTGATGGCTTTAGCATTAGGAAAATAATTGCGTGGACAATAGCTATGAGGAGCAATTGTAACAATAAATTTAACCATAAATCTACAGAAATGAATGCTTTTTTCAGATTTCTGGTCGCATTTTATTCATATTGTGTGGCTTAGGTTCAGAAAGAACCTCTATTTCGATGTATAATCATTTATTTCAATGTACTACTCTGATATACTGGTATATTAAATAACAATTGGGCAGCATTTTGCAAGACCATTAAAAAAAGGACTATCAGTTTAATAGGCCCGATGCCCTATTTATTGATGTACTTACATTTTTAGCTTTGAGATGGTTAGTGAGAATTTTCGTTACTGCTGTCAGTTTTAAAAATATTAAGAAAAAAAATTCATCTTCCAGACAGTGTAGAAAAGGCCATTTTAGTCATACATTAGTTCTCAGAGAAGCAAATAGAATGCTCCTTAGCTTTTGTTGTTCCAAGAGAACATCTTTCTTTTGTCTGCATGACAGTTTGTCATTTGGGTGATAATGCAAGTTTGTAGGGGGGGGGAAAAAAGCATTTATGAAAAGAGCATTTTCTCACCTTATCCTTAAAACCACTCAATTTGGAATGTGTACTTTGAATAATTCTGTTTTGTGTAGCTTTTAATTGATACGTTCTGCCAAGACTTTAAATCTCAAGTGCTCAGTCAGTTACATTTAACATAAAACAAGGAAAATAACCATATGGAAATCTGAAGGCCTGCGCCAAACCAATTAAAATTGCTAAATTTTATTTATGTCTATCTGCTGATTTGAACATAGCAAATTATGAGTCACATTTGTTCTTTAATGGTAGGTGATTGAAATCTTTCCACCACCAGAAATAACATTAACAACAACAAAAATCCCTGCCCAAATGGTAGTGTGAATATGGGAGGTTTTATGCTAGGTCTGTGGGACCCCACTTCATGTTCCCCTCCCACCCATGTCCAGGGGGTGCCTCAGAGGTAGCGGGAAGATCCAGGGAGGCTCCAGTTTTTGAAGACTGAGATTCTATTTCCTGTTTTACCACTGGTGAGACAAATGACCTTAGGCAAATGGTTAAACTTCTTGGGATTTCCTTTTTGGAATCTGTATGATGGTTATAAAGAGTTTTCTCACATGGCGGTGGTAAGGATTCAGCATGATTTTATGGATGCCATTATCTCACACAGTGGCTAACTGTAGTTAACAGTCTGAATTTACTGTTCCTGAGAAGAGACTTGCTGCTGGTTAATTTAACAACCCAGAGAAAAAACTGGCTGTTGCAGGTAAATGCTTAACCGGCAAAGCAGAGGGACCCAGTTTCCACAGATCTGAATCTGTGGATTCAGCGCCGCCCATGCCAGGCTGATGTCTGTTTGTAGACGGTAATGAACACACATCAGACTAGGAATGTATGAAAACAGAGGCTATATGTGGCATGAGGAATGTTAAATTTTTTCAAGTGTGTCTTTAAAAGTGAAAATGAATGAAAATAGAAATCAAAAGTGGAAATAGTATCCTCATCTCTGATTCACGCCCATGTTCCCAACACTCTTGCATTCAGAGTTATCCTTGTATGATGCTGAGGGTTTATTTTATTTAGAACAGAGACTTAACTTCCCATCCCTGGTGTTCTTTCACTTGCTCTTCTGAGTGAGGCCATGCATTCATTTTTGCAGGGTGTCTTTTTTGTCTTTCCCAGGCAACATGCAGTGACTTTTTTTTATCCATTATGCAAGTTTGGAAGCTTTTTTTTTTTTTTTTGCTTACCTTAATGTTCCCTTATGTAAATCAGGGTAAGGCATTTGGATGTAAATCAATCTTAGGAGTGATCTCTTATCTTTTTTTCTAGTACATGAGTCTGGCAGCTGCAGGTGATTGTTTTTGGGTGTAAGTCACCTGTGCAGTCAGAACATTTATGAAACAAACCGAGGCAACACCACATGCTTTTATAAGAGATGCTTTTATAAGAGATGCTTTTATAATAGATGCTGTTTTCAAGGTTACTTTGTATAGACTTTGTCTCATGGAAACCATTGACTATATCCTTACTGATTTTTAGATGCAGCAAAATGTTTTGTTTTGTTTTGTTTTTTTCCTTTTTACTTACCTGTGGGCACAGGAAGAACTGTTTACAGGGGCTGGGAATTTGAGAGATTGTTATTATCACATCTTGACCTATTTCCTCTGTCCAGAAAAGTACAAAAAAGGAGGTTGTGGGGAGAGGTTTTCTTTAATAATTAGGCCTCCCGGTTCTTTTTTTAGAGATTTCAATGTGTGTCACCTGAAGGAAGACTGTTCTTTATGTTGCTCTCCTTGTCTTTTGGCTACATGTTACTGGTTTTCTAGGCTGCCACATTGATTTGGATATTAGGGGATGGAGTTCTTTTATTAGGCTGGATATGTAGTTGTATGACTTTGGGAAGGAATCTGAACCTCTCCAAACCTGTTTCCTCAACCGAAAAACGAGCACGTAGGACTAGGCGATTTTGAAGTGCC